GCTGTCAAAATGCTGCACTCAATATGCCAGCAAATTTGGAAAACTCTACAGTGGCCACTGGATTAGAAAAAAAAAAAAAAGATCACTTTACAACCCAGTCCTAAAGAAGGGCAATGCCAAAGAATGTTCAAAATACCGAACAATTGCACTTAAGGTTATCCTTAAAATTCTGCAAGCAATTCTTCCGCAATATGTGAACTGAGAATTACCAGAAGAGCAGGCTGGTTTTTGAAGAGGCAGGGGAATTAGAGAGTAAATTGCCAACATTTACTGGATTATAGATAAAGCAAGAGAGTTCCAGAAAAATATCTACTTCTGTTTCATTGACCACACTAAAACTTCTGACTGTGTGGATCACAACAAAATGTGGCAAGTCCTCAAAGAGATGAAAGTACCAGGTCATCTTACTTGTCTCCTTAGGAATCTGTAGGCAGGCCAAGAAGCAACAGTTAGAACCAAACATGAAATAACTGATTGGGTTACAATTGGAAAAGGAGTACAACAAGGCTGTGTATGGTCACCTTATTTATTTAACTTATATGCAGACTACAGCATGAGAAATGCCAGACTGGAATTAAGTTTGCCAGGAGAAGTATTAACAATCTCAGATACGCAAGTGATACTACTCTGATGGCAAAAAGTGAAGAAAAATTAAGAAGCCTCTTGATGAGGGTGAAAGAGGAAAGTATAAAAGCTGGCTTGAGGCTTACCATCAAAAATACTAAGATCAGGGCAGCTAGGTGGCGCAGTGGATAGAGCACTGGCCCTGGATTCAGGAGGACCTGAGTTCAAATGTGGCCTGAGACACATAATACTTACTAATTGTATGACTCTGGGCAAGCCACTTAATCCCATTGCCTAACCAAAAAAAAAAAAAAATACTAAGATCTTGGCAACTGGTCCCATCACTTCCTGGCAAGTAGAGGGAGAAGATATGGAAACAGCATCAGATTTTAAATTCTTGGGCTCAAAGATCACTGCAGACAGCAACTACAGCTATAAGATTAAAAGGCACTTGCTCCTTGGAAGGAAAGCTATGGCAAATTTGGACAGTATACCAAAAAAACAGAGACATCACACTGCTGACAAAGATCCTTGTAGTCAAAGCTATGGGTTTTTCAGTAGCTATGTGTGGCTGTGAGAGCTGAATGCCTCAGAGTCAATGCTTTTGAATTATGGAGAAGACTTTTGAGAATCTCTTCAAGAGCAGGGAGACCAAATCAGTCAATACCTAAAGAAATTAGTTCAGACCATTCACTGGAAGGTCAAATACTAAAGCCGAAGCTTAACTACTTTGGCCACATAATGAAAAGACCCTGATGTTGGGAAAGATTGAAGGCAAAAGGAAAAGGGGACAGCAGAGAATGAGATAGATAGATAGTGTCATGGAAGAAACAAACATGAACTTGGACAGACTTCAGGAGATAACAGAAGGGCCTGGCATTCAATGATCCACAGGATTATGAAGAGTTGGACACAACTGAATGACTGAACAACAAAAGAGCTATTTGGAAATTACCAGGAAATTCTGATTCTTCTGTATTAGATATATGACAAAAACTTATCATTTATATGTAACCATTTGTTTCTTAATTTTTTTGTTTTTATTTCCATTTATCATAGCCTTATTTGACAGATTAAGTCTCAGTGTTGGGTGATAAAATAAACTAGTCATCTAATCTAATCCTGTCATTTTGCAAATGAGGAAATTGAGACCCAAGAAAGTTAAATGACTTGCCCAGGATCATACAGGTAATAAATTTAAATCCAAGTCTTCTGATTCTAGAGTGTGCGTTCTACCACATCATGAGATGATGTAGAGGGAGTGTGATATAAAGAACACTGCATCTGAATTCTTATCCAGGCACAGCCAAGAATAATAAGTAGATTACTTCGAGGTGGTCATTTCAATTCTCTGAGCCTTTGTTTTCTTATTTGTGAAATGCTAGATGCTATTCCCTTTTGTGTCTGACATTCTGTGAGTCCCGATACTATGAAGAATACTATGACATTCATAGTATTTAAAGTATTATCATTAACAGCAACAGTTGGCAAGTGTTGTGATTTATGAAATAAATGCATTAGGCATTTTATAAGATTAAGGTTCATATCTTGTCTTTGATACATTCTAGCTGTGTGACCCTGGGCACCTGAATCTCCTCTTTCCATGCATTGGATAACTCTCTAAGATGATAAGCTGCAGAGAACATCCTGACCTGCATGGGCAGAAGGAGTTTCCTTACCAAAGAGTTCCCTATACCAGTGAAATCCAAAGGTCCATTCCCTATCCCATCCTTTACAGGATTATTAACAAATGCATATATGCGTACCGTCTTTTTAATAGCACATCTATCATGTCATAGGATTTAATGACAGCTCATATGTAAATAGCACCTTAAGATTACAAGGTATTTTTCCCCACAACACTGTAAGGTAGGTAGTATGACTAACATTATCGTTTTACAGATTAGGAAACTGAGGTACAGAGTGATTTTAACAATTTGTCCACAAAAATTTAACAATCTGCATAGCCAAAAATTGCCTTTGGTGCAATTCAAATTCAGAACTCCTGACTGTAAGTCCTGCCCATCTACTAACTCATACTACAGCTCATTTAGAGCTGGAAAGGGACCTTGGACATCATCTAGTCATTCCAACCCTCTCATGCTACAAATATTTGTTGTTGTTTAGTTGTTTCAACCGTGTCTGACTATTTGTCACCCCTTTTTGGGGTTTTCTTGACCAAGATACTGGAGTGGTTTGCAGTTTCTTTCTCCAGTTCATTTTAGAGATGAGGAAACTAAGCAAACAGGGTTAAGTGATTTGCCCAGGGTCACACAGCTAGTAAGTGTCTGAACTCAGAGGTTAAACCACAGAGCACTGTTGAAGCTCAAATCCTTTAACTTAAAATTTAGTGGCCTTTCCAGTACATTGTCCTGGCTCTAAGTGTTTATCAAAGAAGGCAATCCTACCCAAATGTCTTTTGCCATTTGGTTGGCATGCTAGCCCAACAAAGGTCATTATTTCCATGATTGTTTTGCTGGAGGTGGGAGGTGCTACACTACAAAATGTGGTAATAAGCATTACAACTGTAAACTAGAGTTGAAAGCCTAGATACGTAAATAGTACAGTGTGTGGACACCTATGCTTTCCTAGAGTTTTAAGGATACCTTCAAATGCATCTTTTAAGAAGACATTGAACAGAATAAGAAAATTAGAATTAAATCAATATTATCAACTATCACAAATACAATATGCTGGATGGGGGGCAGGGTGGGCAGGGGAAAAGCTTATCTAACTTGTCCAATTCCAGTGTCTAATTCCAAGGTTCTCTCCCAATCTTTTCTTTTAGGAAACAGTAGGGAAAAGAAAGAGATTAGCTAACAGTACCAAATGAAGCATGCCAACTACAACTTAGAATCATGTAATCATTGGACTCTGTGTCTATATGTATTGTTGGACATATTATCATTATCATTGGACTCTGCAAAATGTTATTTTAGAATCATGTTGCTGAGTTGTTTCTGCTGGTGCTAAAATAGTTTTTAAGTACTATGGTTTTTATATTACTTTAATATTATGTCATTTTACTTTATTATATTACTTTATATATTATATATAATTACTTTAATATTGTGGAGGGAATTCTGATTTTTATAAAAATCTAATTTATCAGTATATTAATTACGCATATCATGTTGATTATTATAAAAGTCAGAATTCTCTCCACATTGTATATAGTAAGGGTAAGGTCAGAGGGAAGTGTGGACCTATAGTTTTGTTGGTATAAGCAGCTCCCAGTGAGAGATTTCCTTGACAGCATCAGGTTGGCACTTTCTCTGGTATTTCTAGTCTTAGAGCACGCTAACCAGACTTGCCCAGTGACAGACAGCCAATATGTCGCAGGTTGAAAACATGTTACTGAAGTGTTTTTGCAAAATCAATGCTTACATATTTGCTTAAAGAGTTTAGTTATCAATTTGAGACTTGGTTAATGTCAAGTAGAAGAAAAACAGTCTTTCTGTTTGGCTAGTTGTCTTACGCGTTGGCTCCTAAGATCAGCAAACCCAATTTACCTGTTAAGTATAACCGGAAAAACTGACACTCTGGAGTTCAGCTGGATAAAAACTTTTGTTCATTTTCAATTTAGACATTAGTCCTGCCCACTGAGGAATGGAAGCATTCTTTATTGCTAGTCATGTGTCTTTGAGGCATATTGATGTCATTTTTAGAGAAATGCCCATGGAATTAGGAAGACCAGGTTTAAGATTTGACTCTGATATTTACTAACTGTGACCATAAGAAAATCAATTGACCTGTCAATGTACTAAGCAACACTCTGATACCATCAGTTATAGGCAGGTAACCATTGTGCAGCATAGGGGTAGTTTCTACACTGAGAGCAACAGTTTCTTGCATGACTGAAATCCCAGATCTGACCCCAGTTGCCTGCACATTAGGGATCTGAAAAATGTCATATGGCAGCACATAGGAAGTCCAATATTGGGCCCAAAATAATGTAATATTTAAAATTACATTAAAACATATATTAAATTAAATTAATGTAATATACTCTGTCATTTTATATGTGAACCTAATATAATTTTACATACGAGCCTTTCTTTTGAATTCTGTTAATGTTGGTGTTCTTGGGAGTGGAGAAGTCAGTTTCTATGAGACAATATTGAGTATAATAATGGCAGGCAGATGATTTTGTTTCCTGAGCCCAGTGATGGAGGGACAGTCCAATAATGTGAGGATGGCTATGGTAAAACTCAGACTGGACCACTGCAAAATCTGTAAGCCTCATGAAAGCCATCTCAAATTTTGATTTTCATTTAAAATCATCATTATTTTCTTTATGCAGCTGGGATAATCTTGTTAGTTTACTTGGAAGACTGATGGGGACAAATTCTTAATGTTGAGTGATTTCTTTTTAAAAATCTAAAGGTAGATTTGGTGACTTTTTCCTGAATTTGCGACATTATTTGTCTCTGCAGAGTCACAGGCGGTGAGCTCTTTGAGGACATAGTGGCAAGAGAATATTACAGTGAAGCAGATGCCAGGTAAGTGACTCCTTCATAACACCCATGTTTACATTTGGCCTTTGGAATCAAATATTATTTGTGTTAACATGGACAGGGTCATCTCATACTTGGTGCCCTTGAGAAAGAATATTGAGATACCTTGGCCTTCTGTCACCATTAGTGTGTCTCCCTGTGGATATCTGTCCATTCTGAGGTTCTCTAGGGATAACTTTTTTTGAGGGGAAAAAAAATCCTTCTGCTCTACAATTAAATTGTTGCTCTCATTAATGGTTGTAATCCAACCTCTTTAGGCACATGCTTAAACAGGCCTCTAAATTCCTTCCAGCTCTATATCGATGTGATGTGTGAGCCTATGTCCTTATCTTGAAATCCTGGCACAGTGAAGACCACTTATCCCTCCTCCCCGTCATTAAAAGTGTAGTTAAGAAAATGTTCTTATTTCTACGTGCACGTGCTCTTGACATGGTTAACCACATAAAATAGGATGTATGTTGACCTGGCACATGGGTTGACATGAATTCTTTTATATTCAGTAGCTATGGGTGACAACAGCACACACACACATACGTACATGCACCCCATTTAATAATTCAAACTTCTTTTTCAAATTTAACTCCAATTTGCTTTTTACAGTTGGAGAAGGGATTGGCACTACTTAGAAGTATTTTATAGACTAATTAAACACAACCACCACTTAATTTTTTAAATATGACATTTTTACAACATTACCACAGTCAAATGAAATTTCCCAGTAATTGGCAACGGCTTAAGTGGGGTATCAGCTTTTTGTTTGTTTGTTTGTTTTTACCAAACAAAACAAATATAGCATTATCATTATCACCACCACCAAAATCAGTTTTGGAGATAACCATATGCCTACTTGCTATTGGAAAAAAGTAGAAAAGACAGCTAATTTCTTATAAATTTTGTCTTAGGACACTTCATTAGGCAAATACCATCAGTGATATTTCAATCAATAAATATTTATGAAGCACATACTATGTACAAGGCACTGTGCTTCGAGTTAATAGAAAATTTAGATCGAAGACAATTCAGAATGTAAAAGACAATTGTCTCTAGAACTCACACCATTCAGTCTGAGTAATTTACAGTGAGCCTTAACACTTAAACTGATACTTAAACTAAAACAAAACAAAACAAAACAAAACAAAATTCCTACCTTCCATACCAGTTTACACTGAAATTGCCTCTCCTCTCTTCATCTCAAAGGTGGAAAATGTTCTGAATTTTTAACTTTATCATCACCATATGTCTGATTAGAATAAGGAATCATTCCCATGAAGCCAGAGGCCTTCATACATGTTTCATCCTTCAGCATTAAGGGTAGTAAATTATCGTAGGAGAGGTATAGTTAAGGCGCAAAGAGAGGAGACATTCTCTTCCCCATTTCAATATAAATCGAATTTGTAGAAGACTGGCCTGGAAAGATTTCCTTTTATTTTTCTCCTATTCCTCATGGAGTAGAGAACTAAAGAATATTTTTGCTGGTAAGAAAATAGAGGAGAAATCTCTCCTTTAAACCCTGTAATTCTCTAAGACTCACTTTTGAGTGTTATTTCACATAAGAAGAAAAAAATCTCTAGTATCCTGTCTTTAAAGCTTTGACCTAATCCTCAGCAAAGATCATCAAACAATTCATTGTAGACATGCAGGCTCAACCAAAGGCAACCTTTAGAAGTAGCCCCATAAACCCATTCCTACCCACATTTTGACCCCAGATTTCATGACAAATGTATCTTTAATGTACATTATTACTGATTTGCTTTATTACTACCTATTTTTAAAAAGTATCTTTTGTAGCTTTATGTTCATTAAAAAAGGTAGTTTTATGTAAAGTTGCATTAGCCTTAGAGACTAAGAAATAAATTTTGGAATCATTTGCCAAAAGAATCATACATTTGTTTTTAAATAATGAGATGAGCACTGTTTAGAAAGTGATATAAGAGTATATGTAGCCTTAAGTGGGAATAGCCATCCAAAACATTAAATATTTGCAATCACTTATAAATGCTGTGTAATTTTTAAAAAATAGCTATCTAGAATACAAATACAAAGTTGTGTTTGTTGTCCTATTAACTGAGTTGCTTTTAAAAGATTATGATCAAATTTTTTATTTTAACATGACTATATGATTGCAACGTAATTTATTAAAGGTACAATTTGCTTTGTAGAAGTACTGTTTTACACATTCATTGAATTAATGGATTTTCAATTTTATCATTTTAAATGAAAGATACTAGATATGTGACCCTGGAAAAGTCACTTAACCTCTTAATGCTCTGGGCAACTCTCTGAGACTATAAGTAGCAGAGAAGATACCAGCCTTCCTTGAACAAGGAACTTCCTCACATGGAAGTTTCCCCTATAAATGAAATCACAGGTCCTCAGGCTCTATTCCTGTCCTAAATAAGAGAAATAAAGATGGCTCCATCCCCACCTACACATGAGCTGCATAACAAAATTTACAAATGTGACTGACATGTTCAACATGCCTGTGTGTTAATTGGTAGCTAATGGCACACACTTTATGGGTGCCAGTCAATGATTTTCCTCCTACTTTAATTAGCATGCCATTTCTTATCAGTGAGCCTTTGACAAGTATAGAATAAATCATGGATTTTGACAGAGTAATAAGCAAGTTTTCCTTTGCTGTTACTATGAGGTTTATGACATTTGGCATTCACTGTTGCTCTCTTAGGTTTTTTTTAGTTAAGCATTTATATAATAAAAAATAAAAACCATTCCTACCCTCCTTACCTTTTCCATAGCCCACAGCCATTAGGGGTGGGAGGAGGGGGGTGGGGTGGGGAATTAATGAGCAGAGCTTCTTTGACCAAAATTTTGCCTGTGCTATTTGGTGACTCACATTGGTTTCTCCCCTAACCATCAATAAAAGAACCTTCTTTCAAGTCAGAAAGATGAGTACTTCATTCCCCTCCCCCTTTTATTTCACCTTTACCACCACTTCATCCGTGTTTATCCTCCTGTTTTAAGACCTATGTTTCCTTGTGACCTCAGATTTTAAACAGTTTACTCTATGCCTGAGAAATGCCAATTTCCAATCTGCCCATCACATCACAATTTCCCAGGATTATTGTTATGGGAAATTTTAATAAAATCTCTTTCTTTGGAGAAAAAATATGGTTTCTCTACAGATATGTACATACTAGTTGATTTGTATGCAATTAATGAAGAGCGCAAATTGTTTTATCTGATAATGTCACAAATTCTCTGTCTAGTTGTCTTTTCTTTTTGTTAGATCCAGAAATTACTTTATTTAGCATAATCCAATCCCAGTTTGGTGTAGAATTCAAAGACTCCTGAAGAAATGTAATTTGTGTTTATTTGTTTGTTTGTTTTTTTCCTTTTAACTCCCATTTTATTTTGTATTCAATGTGATTATGTGCCTTTAAAATGTTCTCCCTTCCATTCTGCCCTTGTATCTTTGCAGTCATTGTATACAGCAGATTCTAGAAAGCGTAAATCATTGTCACCTAAATGGCATAGTTCACAGGGACCTGAAGGTCAGTATATGGAACCTATAAATCTGATAACCAGAAGCCTTCTGGGGAAGGGCAGAGGGTGGGTATCTACTATGGACCCCTTGCCTTCACCCCTTCCCCCCAAATGACTAAATGACAAAAAAAAAAATGCATGATGTTTCTTTCCAGTTTGCTCATCCGCAGGCTAAGCATACATCACAGCAAAAGGAATCTTTTTTAAGAGAAATTAACCTTTAGGTTAACCATTAGAAATGTAACACAACCAATTGAACTTCTGCAGTACAATCCAGGGCAAGGGGAAATTTCATCAGTTGTCCAGCATTGACTTAGGGCTGTGATGTGTGCCTGCCTGTAGATTGAAACACCACTTCTGTTCTGAGACCATGGGTTACAGTAGCTGAACAACTTTTCACACATTTGCTCCTTTTGAGTCTGAAAGACCATCTCAGGCAAGAGATAATAATTGCCAACTAAATGAAAGAGTGGGAAGTTAATCATCTACCTAAAATTCATTAATTATGGAGATTTTAACTCATGATTGGAAAAATTTGGGAGAACTAAACTTATATCTCCCAGAACACTTTTTTTTTTTTCCAGGAACAAAATTATGCATTTGGGTTTGGTTTTTAATTTGATTTTTTTTTTCCTAAAGAGCTTTTCCAATGGACCTGAGCTCTTCCGTGAAATCAAATGCAGCCCACATTAATCGTTCATTTGAGCATGAAGCCTGGCAACATGTGGCAGGCAGGATCCCAATTCTTCTGACTTGGTGACTACTCTAGCTGAGCAATATGTGTAGACATCTGGAGGTGCTTTCTTGCATTCCCAGTCGTTGGCTCGTTTAATACTTTAACCCAGTCTCTGTGAGGGTATACAGATAGTGAGTGTAAGCTTGGAACTAACACACGCCCCCTGGTGTTTGCATGCAGTCATTGCATTCAGCAGATCCTGGAAGCTGTGCTTCACTGCCATCAGATGGGGGTAGTCCATCGGGATCTTAAGGTGAGTAATGCCGTTGGAGTAGATATGACACCACACAGTTCCGAACTACTGTTCAGCTGCAATTATGCTCATAAAGGCAAAAAAAAAAAAGCCATGAAACATGACTCATTCCATGAGTTTATGAAAATACTTTGACTCACCACAACCCACCCTTTACTCCATTCCTTCTGTGACGCATACTTGAGACTTACATAAAATCTCCTTTTATCGAAAGGAAAATAGCATCCTGCCATTGGCAAGAAATAGGATGATCTCTCCTTTCTTCTTGGAATGGGCAAAACCCCTGAATTGTCTTCCTTCAGGTTAGGGAGCTTAATTACCTTCCACTTCCAACTGAGAGTTGCTTTAGGACAGATGTTCAAACAAGACTTCCTGTCTGTGACAAGTGAATTCTTTTGTCCACTCCACCCGCCCTCCTGTGGTATTGAAGATCAGAGACTTGCCTTCTTTACCTACTAAAGTATGCCATTGCTCCAAAGGACCCTGTTTATGTCATGCAGTGAAAACTAAAGAGATGGCTTATGATGACTGTTCACCTAATACAAAGGTTCATGAAAGATAACCTGTGAGTTTTGTTATATACTTTTTGCCCATTTCTGTCCTTCTGTAGTTGAGATCTGTATATAGTGTTAGTCAACGGAAATAATGGATCAGATTGGATTGCCCATTTCTCTTTCAAATGATATCAGTTCAATGATTATACAGACTACAGGACTAGGGACTTTAATGCAGACAAATATAGGATAGGTTCACTTATATTATAGGTTCACTTCAGAATATCATAGTATTCTGGGCATGGAAAAATATGGAGAGAATGTGGATGAGCCTCCTTGTGAAACTCTGGAATTTTTTTGGCTCTCTTTTCAAAAAGTTGGCAACTGGGATTTGGAATGATAGTATTTCTATGCGTTTAATAGGGGTGACAATCAGTGGATAAGGTCCATCTAGAGATCTCTGTCAGGTCTCTTACCTCTTCGGTATCTTTATCAGTGACTCAACATTGATGACATTCTGATCAAATCTATGATTGAACCAAAACTGAGAGAGAGGGCCAACATAGTAGATGATAGAATGAGGATGCAAAAAGTTTGTGAAAGGTTAGAATGATGGGCTGTATAAAAAAAAGATCAAGTTTAATAGAGATAAATGTAAAGTTGATGCAAAAGTAATAGTTTTATGAATCTCAAAGGAGAAGCAGCATGATTGAATAAAAGTTAAGATGAAAAGGATCTGTTGGTCATAGTAGCCTACCAGTTTGGAAGCAGTCATTTGTATGAAGTGACAGAAAAACCAGCTGCATTTTGCACTACACTTCTAAGTATATAGTATACTATGAATTTTCCTATACTCTCCTACTATACAATACTATACAATGCTACTATACTATTGTGATGTGTTATAATGAACTGTGCTATTCTATGTTACAGTACTTTATACTATAGAAGTACAGTGTCCAAACTGAGGAAAGTGATTGTACAAATGGTTAGCCCCCATCTGTGAACTCCTTGAGAGCAGGGACTCTCTTTAGCCTCTTTTTGTTTTTTATCCTCATTGCTTAACACAGTGCCTGGCATATAGTAGGTATGAAGAGTAGTCGATTGGAGTACTATATTGAGTTCCTAATATCTCATTTCAGGAAGAGACATTGATAAACTGGAGTTGGTTAGGAAAGGGCAGCTTGGGTGATTAGATTGAAAACTATTTTGCAGAATGGTTAATTAAAGAAACTGGGAGTGTTTAGCCTGGAGAAGAAAAGATTTAGGGGGATTCCTAATTTTTTATCTTTAAATATTTGAAAGATTAACTTATTGAAGAGTGCTAATATGTGGCACTCTTGGCAGTATAACACAGCTTCTTCAGTGTTGTTTGTTTGGGACCCCAAGTGCAAAATTAGGACCAAAGGATGAATGTTACAGCAAATTAGATTTATGGTTTATTACAGGGAATATTTTTGTCTAGCAGTTAGAGCTGTCCACAAGTGAGCTAGCTACCTTAGTACATATGTAAAGATCTTCACACGGTCATCAGAGATCTTCAAGATGTGATAGGATGGTGATTGTACAAAGCTTTTCTTTGTCCTCCTCATCCGTGATCTTTCTTCTGAATTTGTAATAATGAGGCCCCCACTGAAGATTATGTTGCAGTCATACCCTATGAGAGATTAATGCTTGAGTTGTAAGTAGACTGTATGACCTTTAGACTCTCAGCTCTAAAATTTTATCATTCTACAATATATTTTCTCAAGTAAAGACACATAAGTCAGGTGGCATTGGGTTGAAGAGTTTGTCTTCTCCTTATTGAAGTTAATTCCTCATCAACAAGGTTAACAGGAAGGAGATGTTTTATGGTATGGATGATGTTTTTTAAAAATTTTCTTTTTTTTTATTGTGAATTTGATAATTATCAGCAAACACACATCAACAATCACAATTTTATATGTAGTCCTCTTTCTTGTTCTATGTAGACTGAAAAGTTTGTTTGCTGATTATTGTCAAATTCACAACAATAATAATAAAAGAAAAAAGAAACAGTACCAAAACAAAGTTCTCATCCATAGTGACCTCATTCATGAAGAACTAACTGTGACAAGAAGAGGAATAAAAGAAGTTCTAAGCAGTGTTAGTGACCCAGTTGAGCTTATATAATGCGAATTTCTAGTGGACCATGCCAACAGTATTTAATAACTTCCTCCAGAATACTCAGTAGTTTGGACAAGAAATAGGGCATGAGATACTGCAAAAGGATAAGGAAGCAAAGTATTCATAGGTGGGGGATGGGGCTTGGTTGAACTCATTCACTACTTGGACAAGACTGTGAAGAGAAGACCAACAGAGGTCACTGACCCAACAATTTATTGACCTCAAGAGCAGAGATTGATTTTACTCAAGAAGAAAATATCAAATGTAATCAGAATGCTTTCTAGGAAGAATGACTATAAAAAGTTGCTTTTTGTATCCCAGATGATTTTTCCCCTCAATGAGTAAATATGTTTTAGCTTCTATTCCTTTTTTCTCATTTTTGAGAAAACAGAGGGATAAGCAATGTCTATAAGTCTCTATGACTATTGTTTGTTAATCTTCATTAACCATCCCCTTCATTCCCATGAAATTTATTGCTTGGTATGTTGTGTTTAGGTTAATTCAAGATTGTTCTTGATTTTAGTAGAACTTCTTATAAACATTCTGGAGGTGGTTTTCTTCATGTGTCCATGATCTTTGACTCATTGTTCTTCATACTGTATTTGGACATCCCCCTTAATGGCCATATGTGCCTTTATCTTCATATAGCATTGTGTTAGTTGCTGTGAAAACTTGAGTTTGAAAGCTGTTTGAGGGCATGGACCATGACTTGTGTGAGCTTATATCCCTAACAGTACCTTACACAGTGTATGGGGAGTAGTAAGCATTTAAGTAGTAGTTAAGTGAACAAAGTTGAATAAACACAGCCCCTATCTTCTAAATGATTTCAGTGTAAGGAAGATAAGTTAACAATAGCACGACATTTATCCAATGGATAAGTAAACATGTTGATTAACATTCTTTACAAAGAGAGTATATATTTTTTGGAAAGTGGAATAACTTTTAACTGAGGAGTGCACAATGGCAGGACAGCTGATTTTACTGATGGGCAGGACCTAGAGATCTAGCGAATAGAATAGGGCTCCAGACAGTGTATGTGACAGAAAAGAAAAACTCAAGTTGATTTTTTTTTCTGAAAGCTCTTATATTCAAAGACAACAATGTGATAGTGTCCATAGTAATTGAAAAACTAGGCTTAGAGAAAATTATAGAGAAGAAATGAAAAATCATTCCTAGGTTTCATTTAAATTGCTGTGGTATAGCCAAATTATGACATCTTAAAGACCCTCTATAAAATCCATAAAATCAGATGAAAAGGTAGCATGATTTAGCAGAAAGTATGTTAAATTTGGAGTCAAAGATCTAAGATCTGAGTTATCTTAGATAAGTCACTTTATCTGTCTAGTAAAATGAAGGGTTTGGATTCAATTTCCTCTATGA